ATAGTTGTTAGCGGTGTAATCTATCCGTAGCCAGGATTTTGCTAAGAGGGGGAGGAACACTTAGGTTGGTTTTCCCCATAAATTTTATTGAAGGTCTTTAAGTCCTAATATTGCCTGTTTTGCTTATGTTACATTTTTTTTTAAATAATATTTTGGTTACGTTAAATGTTACATCAAGATCATCTTCGAAACTGATATTTTCTTCTGCCAATTTGATTTTTTTGAACAATGGAATTGTATTTCCAATGATTAAATCTAGATTCCAATTTTTTTTGTAAAAATATTATATTAAAATCGATGAGATATATAAATAATTAATAAACTTATAAAGTAACTAAAATATTTTATAATTCTAAAAAAAAATTTAAATTAATTATGATTTAACACAAATTGAAAATTTAGATATATTTAAAAAAATATACAAGGCCACCCGATATGGTCCGAATTTTTTAAAAATAATATTAGGCCCGACCCAGCCCGAACTCGAGTTTTTTTTTAAAAAAAATATACCCTGCCCGGGCTTATTTTTGCAGATCTCTAATATAAATAGCGCGTTTAAATTAAAGTTAATTAAGTTAAATAAATTTGGTATATTATCTTCTGGTCCCATTTCATGTTGTAATATTAAGCATATAATATGAAATTTTTATATTTAATTCTTAAACTTGATCTTGAAATATTTAATAAATAAATTGAACTTGACATTAAACTCATTATCGAATAAATTGTTTAATATTTTATAATTCTTATACGATGGATTTAGGACAATAATTATGTCCAAAAATCAATTAGAATCATAAAAAATATAACCAATAATAATCTTTAAATAGCGTTATTCATTTTTAATTTTTTTTAATATCATTAAATCATAGTCGTAGCCAGGATTTTATTGGGGGGGGGGGGGGGGGGGGCACTATTAGTTGGGGTTTTTCACATATATTTTATTATTATAAATTTTCACTTTATTTCTACAAATTTGAATTATAATTGCTTATATACTAGAAATATTAATAAATTAAAATATTGTTTAATTATATATTTGGTCATTAAATAGTAATATAAGTTAAATTTTATATTCATTATTCGTATATTCAATTTAATTTGCTTATTATAGAGAGATAAGGCTCTGTCCTAAATATCAAAAATTGCATAAAAATTGCATCGCGCAATTTTTGCGAATCTAGCGAAAAAATTAAATAATATAAGCCATTTTTAATGGAAAATTAAAATGATGGCCTATTTTTTCGATTTTGCGCAAATTACGTAATTCTTAAAAATTTTACAATTCGAAAACTTTAATCTTTTTATCATTAAACTTTTGCAGATTGCGTGAACGAAAATGGCGAACGAATTTCAATTGATGGAGAATATAAGACCTTATAGACATTTGTGGTGTAATAGTGACATTAAATATAGAGATACAGCTGCAAATAAAGTCAAATGGGAAGAGATTATATAAATATTATTTTATATTTTAGGTTCAGGTGCTGCTATCATGAACAGCAATCACCATAAATTTGTTGAAGATTTTTACTGGCTAAAAGAAAATGTGTAGGATACATGTAAGCATACTGAAGCAAGTTTCAGTTTGAAACAATCTAAGGATTCTATTAATGTACAAATATCTCCACGTGTATTATAACATGTAATTAGAACTATATAATAATCCAGGAGCGTACGCAGGAATTTGATCTTGGGGGGGGGGGGGGGGGGGGGGGGGTAATAAATTTTTTTAAGAAATATAATTGTTAATTAAAAATACTAAGCATAAATTTATTAGGACTAATAACTTTTCTAATACACAATTTTAAATTAATGTGAATTACAAAAAAATTATATATATAAACCGACATTGAAAAACTATAAAGTAAATGTGAATTATAAAATATAAAGTGAATATAACCACGATATGAATCACTTAAACGACCCAAAAGTGAAATTTGAACTTTTTGAGCTTTTAAAATATATAAAGTATAAAAAAGTTAAATGTTGGAAACATAAATTAATACACAAAAAGTTTCTTAGGAATAAGTGTATTTTGTATATTTTGAGCTAATTTTTCATTATCTATCCTTGCTTGGCGTTAAATGCCTATGAATATTCAAAAGATCCAAATCATTCAATCAACTTTCAGAAGTTGTATTTCATAGGTGTGTATTTCAGAGACTTGCAGGCCCGGCCCCCGAGTCGGACCGTATTTTAATTTTTTTAAACATACCCGGGCCGAGCCCGAAATTTTTTTAAAAATAATATCCGGGCCGAGCTGTATATTTTAAAACCAAGTATTTGAAATCGCCATTATTAGCTACAAAAATCAAAAATAAATATAATTTATTTTTAAAAAATGGCCGGGCCTGTAAATTTTATTTTCAAAAAAGCCGGGCCGGGCATGAATTTTTTTTTTTAAAAAACCCGGGCTGAAAAAAATTTTTTAAAAAAATCTGGGCCGTGCCCTTCTGTTATTCTTCTTAAAAAAGAGAATGTTTTTTCATTAGTTTACTAATGGGAAGAGTTGCTAATATATATAACCATTTTAATAAATTGGGAATATAATCTAAAATGTGTTTGAAATAATGCAAAGTATCCATAGCATTTTTTGGACTGAATCAACCATAGTTAATCTTTTTATCATAGGTATTCCAGCTAATAAGGCATCATAAGATATTTTAACATCTTCATGATAAAAATCTAACAAATATATTTTTTTTCTATCGCCATCTGAAAAAGGTTAGAAAAGCTTTTGTGGAAGTAAAATCTGCGGATTTGTAAGTGCTGCATGATGAATTAAAAACCACATTTATTTGGGTTATAAATGTATCTAAGAGAGGGGACATTTGTTTTATAATACTCTTCAACTGGTCCTATATTAATGTTTTGACGATGAGCTTGCTTTCTGCAAGTCGAGGGGGGCAAATATTAAACACGTATAGCTCGCTTTTGACTCAACAATAACATATAAAATATGAAATTCTTCATCAACATTAGCCCTAATTTCCTGAGTTCTAATAAAATGCTCTCTGCTATTCTCATCTTCTTATTCAAGTCAATGTCATGTTTTTGAAAAGTATTACATAAAATAGTTGTATAATTAAATAATACATTCTAATGAGAAAATAAATTTGAAATAAGTATTGAATCCAATAATTTTCTTGCTTCTGAGGAAATATTTCTTTCAAGCCATTGTGATATTTCAGTAATAGCATTAATAATCGACTCTTCTAACTCCATAAAAGCTGTTACTGCTTGATGGCGGAGACTCGATCTCGTTGGGCAAGCTTGCAATTTCTTTCTCCATGTTGGACAAGGAGTTTCAGAGATAATTATTATTTGACTAGAAATTTAGATAAATAATACGCCACTAAAATTTGAAAATAATAGGTAAATTACGCCAAGGAAAACTTGAAATCGAAATTAATTTATAAAATAACTTAGTATATGAATGTGATAATAAATGTAATTAAATATATATGAGATAGGAATAAATATTAACAAATATAAATTAATATTAACAATAATATTTTTGAAAAATATAATCCGGCATCTGCATTTTTTGGCTTTGGAGGGGGGAGGGAATTTGTCCTCCTGCCCCTCCCCTTACGCCCCTGTAATAATCTATATTTTAGGATTATGAGCCAAATATCCAAGATATGTTAAATGTACAAATATCATCACAAATATTATAACATTAAATTAGAACTATATAATAATCTATATCTTCTCATATATTGATATGTGGAATCTATGATTGTGTTGATATTAGGCATGTACCCGGGAAGGGGGAGGCAAATCCACTCTCTCCAAAGCCAAAAAATTTAAATGCCGGCTAAAATTTTTTTCAAAAATATTACTGATTCCTACATCTTATTGCATATATTCCAATTTGCATTTATTTACCACAAACATACCCATAAAAAAAAAGCGACTCTACTAAATGAATTAATATCAGCTTCAAATTTTACCTGACTTTATATTTATCTATCATTTTTAAATTTTTATCTGATTGGTATCAGCTAAAGATCGGTGCAACCCTATTCAGAATACTTCATTATAAAACTGCAATCTATAAAAATCTTAAAAAATTTGCAATTTAATTCGTAACATTAGAAGTAATGTTGTTAAACGGCTAACTCGATATTTCATCTAGAATATTATTAGGCAAGCCTGAAGATTTTGTTTGTAGAAGGAACAAAGGTTTGGACATCTATTAGAGAAATCTATAGGCTTAGGCTATATTTTTCTGGCTAAAATATTGAGTTAGTCGTTTTTAAAAATCGGCTCAAAACGAGCCATTTAACAACACTAATTAGAAGGCACTTCAATAATTTTACTTTTAATCATATCGGAAGAGATGGTGTAAGGGCAACTTCGGGTAATGACTAAAGCCAAACTAATAAAGACTCATAAAATAAAAAAACTCTCTCACAATGCCGATTCAGAACTTATAGCCTAACTTCAAGGAGGGTCGATATATATTGATAGCATATGCACTATATTTGGAACTTTATCTAATGTGCTCAAGATCTAATTAAAAAGCAAACTAAGGCAAAAAATAAACTTAAAACTTTTTTTGCAAAATAAAAGTGTTAAATATATAATGATTATTGAGAAAAAAGATTTTTCTTCATATAGTCTTTGCAATTTTTATATTTTATTGCTTATCCCATTAGCAAATCCAATTAGAGATCTGCAAAAGATTTATTTACTCGAAGCCTGGTGGTAAAAAAATTCAAGTTATTTTATAATAAATTAAATTTTGACCTATTTTACTTGTATTATCTTTCATTAAATTTGAAATAAATCAATTAGTTGACAATAATAAATAATTGCGTAATACTGTTGCCCATATCCAAAAAAGCCTAAATACCAACTTGTAAAATAAACTTCTATTACTTCGTATTGCATTCTTTATACACCGTGTTAAATTAATTTATTGACGTTATAACAATAGATTACATATAATTAAAAACTATTCATTATTAAATAAAACATGCAATCCATGCCTAACCCTTTCTGGGAGGGGGTGTGTTACGCCTATCTCTAGTGGGCGATTTGTTTTTTTTATCAGGTTTTAGGATTTGAAAAGAGCAAGTTAGTTGATTATCAATACTTAAGACACCCCCCGCGTTATCAAAGACTCCGCAATAATTTGGGGCCGAAAATATCGTGACTAAGCCTCTATTTGCAAAGAACTCATAACCATCTTCTACAACTTGATGGGCCCTGCATATTAAATCAATTCCGTGTTTTTTTCTAAAATTTGCTACGATATCTGGTCCAAAAATATATGATATTCCTCTATCATTATCCTCCCATCCTTCTGTATCTTCGTCAGGATCGGACCAAAGTAAATCACATAAGAGTCCTTGATTGGGAATTTCGATGGGCCTTGGAATCTTATTTATTTGATCTAAATTCTTTAAATCCGGACTTAAACCCCCGTGACAACAAAATATTTTTTCTTCAATCATTGCCGCTACGGGTAACACATTAAAGCAATCAACGAATGTTTTCCATAATTTGACATTACATCGTCTTTTACATTCATCGTAAAATCCATAAACCCGATTAATGTTTGCTGATTCATGATTTCCTCTTAGCAAAAAAAAATTTTCGGGAAATTTTATCTTGTAAGCTAATAATAAACTGATGCATTCCAAGCTTTGTTTTCCTCTATCCACATAATCTCCTAGGAACAAATAATTACTTTCAGGTGGATATCCTATATTTTCGAACAACCTTATCAAGTCGTAAAATTGACCATGAATATCGCCGCATACTTTTAAAGGTGCTTCCAATTCTACCATCATAGGCTGATTTAGAAATATTTGCCTCGAAATTAAGCATAAACCTTTTAGCTCTTCTTCCATCAATACAATAGGTTTTGAATCACTTCCATATCCAATTTTAATTGATTTTCCTGTAGATGTCGATGGTGTTGGCGCATTACTACTTATTGAAGCTTTTCTTATAGATTTCCTAGCTGCCGCTTTAAGATCCCCCCCAGGAGTCCCTGCTATTAGCAAACGTTCCACAATCCCATCTAAATTTATACTACTAACTTCTGCCATTTAAGCAAATTAATACTTTACAATAAAAAATCATAATATTTAAATTACTTTATTATTATATTTTCAATTGATGTCACTCATACGTTAAACGTTTGTAATTTACAATAATTTACATTATTTAATTTATCATTGTAGATATTGTTTCAAATAAATTTGTAATATAGCATGAAATATAACTAAAGTAAAAACGTGCTTAATTAATGCTTGAAAATTTGGATGACCTCCACAATTTGAATAAAATGATTGATACCCAATTACTTCTTATTATTTTTTATTCAAAAAATGCCGTAAAAAATTGGACATTTAGTTTAGAAAATTTATATCACAATCATATTAACTAGCCTTGCTAAATTAACTTTATTTTGTAATCTAAGATTTTTTTGAATCATTTTATGAGCGAAAGAGTACGATCACAATAAAACTAAAGATAAAATGATAAATAATAGAATCTCAAAATCGAAAAAGGAAATTTATATATTTCTGAAAATGATGTTAATTTTTTTGAACAGAGAAAACATTCTATTTTATTGCTTAGAATTTTTTAAATATATTTTGAGTCAAAATAGTGAAAAGCCCAAGCCCACTTTAAAAAAAAAATTTTTAAACCTAAGCCCGACTTGGCTCATTTCAGGTTCCAGTAAATCTGTCTAAAAGCTGATAAATATAATAATTATGATAATTTTTATCAAGCTACATTTTCAATATTACAACTGAGGTAATTCATCTGCGATAATGCATTCGCACTGATGCGCTATAATGCTTTTGCGGTAATACATTCGTGATAATACGTTCGCTATGACATATTCGTGTGCACTAGAAATATTAATTTCGTGATATTACTGACTTATTTTACAATTTATTATATTTTAACTGATTTAATATATTTTGTACTTCAGTTTATATACTTTTTACAAATCAATCTAAATACATCAATTAATTAACATACATAATTAACAATTTTGAATACAATTTATCATATTATTAATTTCCTTTTGAGGTTAATTTATTACATCTATTCTCTCCTTTTTGGGCTCTCAAATTTAGACTATATAAATTGTTTTCTTATCCTTTTTGGATAACGGCTACTTGTACTTTCGTTCTCTACCACGGTTTGATCTGTACTGTCGATTTCCATTTTATCATTTATGCTAGTATCTTTGATTATTGAGTCTTGTATAGGATCAATGTCCTACGTCATCGAGTCGTGCATAGGATCAATGTCTTTGGTCATCGAGTTGTGCATATGATCATTTTTAGAAATAGAGTCTTGTATAGGATCACTTTCACCCATTCATGGTGTAGTTTGCATCGTTTCTCCTTCTCTTCCTTCCTCTATTTTTAAAATCGGAATCTTCTAACCTATGTTTTAACTGATTAAAATGTCTTCTCCATAAGCCTAATGTCTCAGTTAAAAACGCCATTGGTCATGTTCTTTTAAAGATGATGCCTGATATCCAAATATACTTTTAAAATCTTTTGCATATATTTTCTCATTTATATTAAAAAAACCTGGTAACTGGGGTATGTATGGATGAGGATAAATTGGTTTTATTAATTGTAGGGGTCCTATGGGTTGTAAATAGCATAATTGAACTTGGTGATTGTTTTGTGGTTATTTGTGGCGTATTTCGATAATTAAACAGAAAATCTTGTATTTTATTATAATCATTATGTTTGTAAAAAATTTTAAATACTAACCACTCCGCTTCTTCGTTGGTTCTAGGGTGGTACGGGGCACTATATACATTTATAATTGATAATTGTTTGCAAAATAAACTCAATTCTACTTTTAAATGGGGGCCCATTATCCATAACAATCGTTTAGGGGTAACCGAAAATAGCAAAAAGTCTTAACAATATTTTTCTTATTTCCATAAAATTATTTCTCGACAGTTTTTGTATATTAGGCCATTTACTAAAACTATCTATTATTACTAGATATAAATCTCCGTTAATTGGTCCGGCAAAATCTAAATGAATTCTTCCCCATGGTTTATTTGCGGAGGGCCATTTCCCTATGATCGTTTTACCGCCTTGGTTATTTGTCTGACATAATTCACAATTTTTACCATGTACTTCGATGTCTTCGTTAATATTCGGCCACCAAACGTTCTCTTGGGCCAATAATTTTGTTTTAGTATAACCCTCATACCCCATATGTAAAAAAAACAAAATATTTTATAATTTTTTTGGAATTATGGTTCTTAATCCCCATAATATACACCTTGCCTCCATCGTGAGTTCATTTCGGCGCTGGAAAAACGGTTTTAAATTTTCTTCTATTATCTCCGGCCACCCAGTTGTAAAGTACCGTGAAACCTTTGATAATACGTGGTCATTTCTTGTGTGTGATTTTATATCTAACGCTGAAATAAATTGTGGAGCATCCGATACTATTAAACTAATATCTAGCTCTTCCTAAGAAGATGGTTCACCTTCAATTGGGAAACGGGACAGCATATCCGCAATACTATTTTTTTCGTCTCTCGAAGTTGCAATTCATAATTATAATTTGCTAGTAGTAATGACTATCTTATTAATCGATAGCATATCTGTTATACTTTTATGTGGATTAAGTAACGATATAAGTGGTTTATGATCAGTAGTAAAATGTTTACTAATTAAATTTTTTAAATTTAATTAATCCAAATATATGGCATCTGACTGTAATTCCGTTCGGCAGCATTTAATGTTCGAGACGCGAATCCAATCATTTCTCCTCGTTGTTAATGATATGAGATAGAAATGCTCCTATTTCATGTTCATCAGCAGCTAGAATTATTGGTTTTTCCGGATTATAATGTGTTAAAATTGATGCTTTTGAAATTAATTTTTTTAAATTTATTAATTACTTTTGTTTCATTCTCTGTCCATTTCCATGGCACATTTTTCCTTAAAAGCCTATATAACGGAGCGGCAATAGTCGAAAAATTGTTTATAAATTTTTGATAATTTGGTAACGGTGCGTCTAAAATTGCATTGGCATTCTTATTTGTTGTTGTGATTCCCTCTTCGCTAATGGTATGACCTAAGAATTCAATCTTTTCTTTAAAAAAATTACATGTTTTTAGATTTAATTTTATACCGTTTATTTCTAGCGTCTTTAATATATTTATCAAATTTTTTTATGAATCTCAATTGATTCCTCAGTAATAATTGTCCAAATATACCGCTACCCCAGGTAGTCCTTTTAATAACGAATCCATTGCTTGTTGAAAATGGTTGGCGCTGAGGTTACCCCAAACGGAATTCGTGTGAAGCGATACAATCCACTTGGTCTGTTGATCACTAACAGCTTTTTAGCCTCCTCATCTAGTACTATTTGAAAATAAGCTTCTGATAGATCTAATACCTTATATTTTGATCCATTACCTAATGTGGCTAATAATTCATTAATTCTAGGTATAGGATAATTATCAATCAAAATATATGCATTACCAGTCTGTCGGAAATCACCGCAAATTCGTAAGGATCCATCTTTTTCCAGGGATCGGTGAAGCGATATTCGAGTATTTTAGCTTTTCTATAACTCTCATGGATTCCAGTCTAATTCCGTTTCTAGTTTTGTCTTCCACGCAAATGATATCGGTCTACTTTTGAAACATTGAAAATTGGGGTTGGGTATTACCGATAAGCACGCTTTAAACTTTTTCAGTAAACCTAATTTCTTAGTAAATAATGATGAAAATTTTTTCCAATATTATCCTCCCAAACCTCATTCATTGTATTACATTGATTTATTATTATTAACTTTAATTTGTTTATTAAATTTTTACCAATCAAATTAATACCATTGTTTACAATTATAAATTCATGATATATAATTTTATTCTTATAATTAATGGGTAATATACATTTGCCTATAATATCGATCATTATAATATTATAAGATTTTAAAATAATATCCTTTGTTACTGGTATTTTTAAACGGTAAACATCTTCTATATTCAAAATAGAGACTGCCGATCCTGTGTCAATTAAAAAATTAATATATTTTTATCTATCAATAATTTCACCTCAAATTTTTTCGCTATTCCTCTGGAAAATGCCAATCCTCAAAACTTTCTTTCTCCTTTTCGACATCTATTGTTCAAATATATTCCTTCTTACCACTATTCCTTCTGCACAGTGACATATTTTACAATTTATTATATTTTAACTGATTTAATATATTTTGTACTTCAGTTTATATACTTTTTACTAATCAATCTAAATACATCAATAATTAACATACACAATTAACAATATATTTGAATACAATTTATCATATTATTAATTGCCTTTTGAGGTTAATTGATTCTATTACAATTATATTCGCAGTAATGTATTCCCCAACGATATATATATCATTGGTATTCCTAATAATAACCTTTCTCGTTAGTCGATATTCGCGATAGTGCATTTCGCGTTAAAATTTGATATTGGCATGTCTCCTTGAGTTTATGGAAAAATGCTTACCATTAATGACGTCAATTCAGCAAAATAAATCTTGATTTAGGACCAACCAAAACACTATTTTGAAGAAAAATATCACTTTTAATTTTTCAATGTATGGCTCGTTCCAGCTAGGATGTGATTATGTGAACGCTTTCAACAGTTTATTTATTTAAAACCATTTTGAATTCTCTTGATATCTGTTTTGTCAAACGCATCGAAGCTGATTTAAGAATCCATTATATAAAATATTCTGCTTGCAGGTCAAGATTCACTGGAAAGTGGCATCAATTAAAATCTAATGATCAAACCAAAAAACCTTATTTAATATATTATCTACATACCATAAACACTCTTAAACAAATCATGCATTTTCTAATATTTTAATTTTTTAAATTCTACTGATAATTCTCATTACTGTGGCTTCGAGTGTGCGTAGCTGTTCAAAACATAAATTAACCAAGGCCTATATAAATTCCTGCATGATGCAAGATGAGTTCCTTGCCTTATCCTAATATCCATAGAAAATACTATTGGTAAACCTTAGATAGAAAATAATATATTAT